TACAACCGCAAATGTTGTCCGCGACGCAAGTTATACATACGAAAAAACAAGTCAAAAGATCTAACACAGCTCTTAACAGAGGTAAACGCGGTCCTCGGCCGCAACGCTTTTTGCGATATTGCGAGAAGAACAACTGCTCGAAGTAAACCATTACAACATGGCAGAAATCTTGTCCTCGATCGCTTAACACGTACTAAATCTTCCTTTCCATTGTTTTTCAGGTTGGCGCGAATGATCAGTGATTTAAAAGGTAAATTTTCGATACTCTTTCGAAAGTGGTCATTGTTTTTATACTGTTTTCTATTCTAGTTCGGTTATTCGCGCAATAGGCGATAGATTTAACCCTGGAGAAAGAGTGCTTAGCATAACAAACCATTTCTTAATGTCTTTCGAACCAGAATTGCACAGAATTGCTTCATGCACAGTAGCAAAATACACATTATCGCGTAATTGCCTCGTTTGGCTTACACCAAGAAGTTGAAATAACTCTGTCGAGTATAGCAAAGAGATCTCTCGTTTCTGAATTCAAACCGACTCGTTTACCATCCGTTCAGACTTATGTAATCATTGTCATTTATACTTAATCAGATTTCCTCGCCTTTCAGATGCCAAAGACCAAGTTTTAGAAGGAGGAATAATGAAACCCTTTTGCACAAGGACTGATGCGTTTCTCTTGTTCAATTACTTGCAGTTATCACTATTTGTTCGCGTTGCGAAGCCTAAAATAGAATTGTTCCCTCATATAACGAAGGCAATTGTAGTCGAGCTGGAGTTAGCAGATGGTTATTCTTTTCATAAAGTTTATGATCAAAGTTCGTTTAGCTTGAAATGGATTGTATTTGGATTAGTTAGGGTTCTCACCTTTAAGAGATTTCACGGTCGAGTTTTTCTCAACCTAAGACACTTTTGGAACGTATGATTTCTGGTGCTGTTTATTTGACCTACGTTCGATGACAAAGCATTGTAAATCATCATTCCGCTTGCGGAGAGGAGAAAGCAGAAGAACTGATGTAAAAGATCTGACAGAGATAGAGTCAATAAACATTCCAGCAAAAGTAGTTTGAGTTGTGCTCTTGTCATTAAGTTTATAAGTTATAAGCGGTGTTTTCACAGCAGATATTCGAGACTCAGTATCCCCACCGATATCAAACAAAATCGATAGCACAGAAATTCGAGAAGGCACGACAGGATGTCTCAAAATGGGTTATTTACCAGAATATTGCGAGGAATATTGAGGGTTACAGTCCACAGCATCAATCAAGAGAGATACCACTACCATAGACATTTTAAGGGCATCACTAAACAGACCCGTTGGCGCCAGAACCAAATTACCTTCGCCCAAGCGAGGAAGGAGGAAACGCTTGTAAGCCTCGACTTAAATTGCTTATTCTTGTTTTATTTCTCTGCTTTTAAACATAACAAACCATTTGTTTTACCTTCACTTTCAACATGTGGTTGCTGTTGTATTCTGAAAACAGGCGCTTATGGGGTAAGCTTAACTTAAATTCTGAAGTCCCGCTTAGTGTGGGTTTCAGTTGTTGTTCAATATGGCGGCGATAACACAGCAGCGTTTTCAATAGATTCAAGTTTTCTACTTCGCGATCTACTGTTTGTTCTCGTCGTCTTAGGCTTTTGTCGGACTCGATTCTAGACTCTCGATTCAAGAGTATGCTAGATGAAATCTTTCGTCTTAAATTCACACCAAGCTGCGTAGTCTTTGAGCTCGATTTGAGAATTACGCTTTTTATTTCAACGATCAACATTATTTATTGTTCGTACAAGATGGCGGATAGTGTCATCAAATCTAATAGAGAAAAGCATTTAAACACAATATTCGATCTAACAGTCCATGCTACAGTCATCTAAAGCCACAATTTCTGTATAAACGAAACAACGATCAAGAAAACCGAATTTGCGCAAAGAACCATTGAAAATAAAGCAATTAAA